GGTCGGGGCCAATCACACCGATGGAAAGGGAGTATGTTGAACAATATGTGTTGGCAAAATATCCACAGTATGCGGGTCAAGTTGAGTTAGAAAATATAGACCTTTCTAGTCTTTGTGTCAATGAAGAGTCCTCTGAGCTAGCGATTGATGATAAGAAGAAATCACCAAGAACTAGTTTAAGGGAGTCCTCCTCGCCTTTCTTTGGAAGCAGCCATTCTGACCTGTACCGGATTCAATTGGAACCATCGAGATTGCTCGACATCCTCACGAAGAAATCGTCTTTTCCCGGAAGTTTCATTTCGATCCCGGAAATCCAAGCTCGAAACAAAGTTCTGAAACATTGCGGATTACCGGACGACGACTACCTAGTTCTCTTCACACCGAACTACAAGGATGCAATGATGCTTGTAGGAGAAAGCTACCCCTTTTTTAAAGGGAATTTCTACATGAGCATCATTGGTGAAGAACTTGATTATGTGAGAGAATTTGCCAGTTACAAGGAATCAAAAGTGATATTGGCACCAGAAACTTGGTTGGATTTGAGAATCAAAGGATCACAACTCAGCCAATATTTCAGGAAAAAATGTAAGCACAGCCCCAAGGGATTGTTCTCATATCCGGCCGACGTTAATGGAATGCGTTACTCCATGCATTGGATTTCGGAAGCTCATAGGAATTCATGGCACGTTCTTCTTGATGCAACAGGTATAGTAGTCGGACAAGACCGGTTGACCCTCGCACTTCATCGGCCTGATTTCGTGCTTTGCAGTCTGGAGAATACACATGCTCAATCATCAAGGATAACTTGCCTTATGGTGAGGAAGAAATCGTTTGATACAACAATATCGACATCTCAGATCAGCTAATACGTTACATCATATGTTTCAATTGTTTTAATATTTATAGCTATAGATACATTGGAATTTGAAACAAATAAAATGAGTTTTTCATGAGGAATAAACCTTCGAATTAATGCTTCCCACATATGAAATATGATCAGAATTGCAGCAAGTTTCATTGGAATTAATGCTTATATCCTTGTCAAATGGCCCTTCGAACATCATCAACCTGACTGCAAGAACTTCACCAATGACTCCAAGTCTCGATAGCTCATGCCTCATGTAGCCAAGGTTGATCACAGTTCCAACTTTTCTTTCCTCTTGCTCTTGTCAAAGATTAATAAATTTATTAATAATGGACACACACACCCCCTTATAGACGCAACTGCTCAAATCTGAAATCTCCACAAAAAAACAATACCCTCTTCTACAATTGAAACCGCTCAATGGGTTCTTTGATCATAGATTTCACTAACTCTTGGACAACAGAGAATTTATTGATACCAACGTCCTCCATGGTGTAGAAAGATTTGTTTTGATTGAATGAATCTCTTCATCTCTTTTACCCAAAAACATGATAAAATTATAATAGAATACTAAATCCACCAAAATGTTCCCAACTCAAACTTTGTGCTAAATTTGTCTGAAAGAGTCATATAATACTGAAACTATTTATATCAGCCATAATCTATTACAAATTGCTCAAAGAAATTCCAAGTGAGTTCAGACTAGATTCAAGACTACTGGTTCAACTAATAAAATGTAAAATAAGGGAAGAGCTGGCATTATAACATCCTTCTTTCATAAGAATCTGCAACAATCCCATCTGGTCACATCCCCCAGTAGTTTCTACAAGCCTGCAATTCATATATCGAAAACCAAATCATAAAGATTTAAAATCGATATCCATGAATATCTAAGAACTAAAAGTACCAAGTATTAAAACCTATAAATTTGTATTGATGTTAATTCGCTAGACATCGACACTATTAAGGTTATTCACTCAAGAAACACACTTTGCTAAATCACAAAACATCAGAGCCAGATCATGAGATTGTGTTTCACAGTTATACATGAGGGCCAAGGATGAAAGCTAAACAAGAATCGCAGCCTCAACTATAGTCTAAAATTTGGCAAAAAGAAACAAATAAACAGCAGCTGGATCTCAGAAGCAATGTCCCTAGAAATGAATGATTAGATTTAAAGGTAGTGTAAAGAAAAAGGTAAATCATAAACTCATTTGTCCTAACCAAAGGAGAAACTAGAATGGACCAGAGTGATGGTTTTTAGACCCAACATAGCATCAGTAATGCTACAGATGATACACACATGCATATATCAAATTCAACATAGCATCACTAGGCCAGATCAACAAAATAATAAATGATTCGATGAAATCGAAATTCAAAATTGTCTTAATCCTCGGATCCAAGCAAGACCCACGTGAAATGCTAGTTTGTCAAAGAGCGAACTAAGTTGCTAATTTTGCAAGCATATAGATTATAGAACAAAAGACAATAGATTTGAACAAATTCATCAAAGGGTCTCTAGTGGAGAATCAATAAGCCAAGTCTTCTAAAATTACACAGCTGTTGATATGGGAAAAAAGGCTAAAAATTCCAATAAATTTCGTTTGTAAGCAACAGAGCCCAATTCAGTTATATGAAGAAAAAGGCTATTGCTTCCAAATTTTATTTTAAGCAGATTGAATATAATCCTTTTCCATAAACACACTAAAATCCTTCAATTTAGATTCATCCAAATGAAAATAACACTTTATAAATTAAAACATGCATGCAAAATCAGATAAGGAAAATTACCTAAGCGGATCCGACGATGATGTTGTTGATGGGAATAAAGATGAGCTTAACGAAAAACCCGACAAATCCCATCACCACGAAACCAATCGCTGTACGGAACGCCACCTTCGAGAACTCTGCATGGAAAGCAAAAGAAAAAAAAAACATTCCCCAGAAATCAGATCCTTGAAAAAGAAGGGGAAAAAACCCAACAGATCCAACTCTGAAAAACAAAAAAGAGGGAAGAAGAAAGGGATACCTTTACGATCGGGCTTGTGGCAACGCTTGACAAGGCGGACGCTGTCCTTGGCGAAGTCCCTCAAAGGATCTACGACGTTGTCAAGGGCGTCCATTTCTCTCTCTCAACACGAAAATCGAATGCTAAGATTTAAGAGAGGGGATTTCCAAGATACTTGTTTTGTAGGAAGACGATTTGAGAGGAGGCGTGGTGTTCATAAAACGTCATTGATGGCAGTCAGATTTGGAAACCATTTTCGGCCGTATCTGTGTCAATGGGCCTCTGGCTGGACCCACTGCCACCTTCGGCCGGCTTAGCCAACCCAACCTTTCCTTATACTTAGACCGACATTAGGCTTATATTTTAGGCCCATTATATATAAAGAAAGTATAGCTGGACCGTGATTGGGTTCCGAAATTCAACCCGGCGACCTTTTTCACTTTTCATATATTGAAATATATATGTTGATATTAATAGGTTTAATACAAATATAATTGCCTAAATTATGCATCGAAAAATGATTGAGTGTCTAATGATTTTTTCGCTAAAATATGTGCCTAAAATTTTATCTGTTATATATTTAGGTATCTACCGTTATAAAAAAATCATGAAGTGACAGGTGTCACATTTATATATATATATATATATATATATTATTTTTTAAATAAAATATTATTTTAAAATATTTTTGAAAAAAAATATGGATGTGACACGTACCAATTAACGGTTATTTTTAATAGGCACCTAAAAGTGTAGCAAAAAAATCTTTAAAAACCTGTTTTTAAAAAAAAAATTATTTAGACACCAAAAATTAATTTTAAATATAGCCTAGGCACTTATTTCTTATATTAAGCCATATTAATATTATAAACGATTAATCCCTTTCTAGTTTGAATAGAATGTCGTGACCGGATGTTTTAAATAGAATGAAGATGATGAGCAATGCCAGAGAGGAGAAAGAGAGAATTCTAGGGAGATCGGGCCCTATCCGCTGTGCCGGAAAGCTTTTATACTAAGAGCTCTTGGTGCTAGGGATGGTCATGGATCGGGTTTTTGGTCCATCCGACCCGATCCGAGAATAAAAAATCCTCCACCCGATAGAAATAAAATTTTATCCGACCCGATCCGAGTTAATTTTTTATTTAATAAAACTCGACCCGACTATATCCAATTTATTTTTTATTTACTAAAAAACCGACCCGGCAATAAACAATTTCTCGTGTAAAGTAAAGCTGTAAAGCACCGAATTTGGGACATACAAGGAGAGTAAAGTAAAGGAAAAAAACTATAATTGTTTAGGACATAGAGAAGCGAGTAAAATAAAGTTGTAAAGCACAAGTAAAGCTGTAAAAAATTAAAAAAAAAATAATTGGGTTACTGTTTTGGTCGGGTAGGATTATTTTAACTTTAAACCCGACTCCTACCCGAATCCAAATATTTTAATATAAAATCCAACCAACCCTAATCCAATTTTTTTTTTTAAAAATACGACCCGATCGGAACCCGTCGGGTTCGGGTTCCATGCCCATCTAGTAGGTGCGTGCAAATGTCAAACTTAGGATCATAATTTTTATTCGTAAATCGGCAAAGCGAATTGACTTGGTCATTACGTAATAGAGTTTGTCGGCGACAACAATTAAATGCAAAGATATAGAAACTCGGACAAGCGGAGGATATCCGGAGGAAATGCAACGAACTTTTCCAACCATGGATATAATGACATAATCTGCTAAATATACTGAAAAGTTTCATGAGTTAAACAATACTCATTCTATATATGACGTCAGGCGATTCACAAATATGGATAAAAAGCTGCTACTAATGCGTAAGCCATAAACATAAATGATTCTCAAATCTTACTATGAAAACCATATGAACATGAAAGGGAAGTTCTTAACTATGGTGATCCTCAGGACTCGAATATAGATAAGCAAATATAATTTCAATCTTTTCCAAAGTTTTTCTACGTATTCGGCGAACCGGCCAATCGCATCCATATAACATGTCTAGATATGCATCGGATATAGGCGTGAATACTTCGACAAAAGAAAAAAAAATGGGAGCAACATAGATTGTCGCCGATAATGCACTTCAAAATTATGTTCATTCATATGAAAATTTATAAAGATGCACAATAACTTTTAGTACACAGCATGGGGATAATCCCAGAACTGCACAACATTAGAAGATATTTCGATTAGGCAAAGTCATAGCAGCAAACGCCATTTGTTTTGCTGCACTTCAATTAGTTAAGGGTCTTTCCTAAGTAAATCACAGTTAAAAAGTAGCCTTCCATAACCAATGGCAGGCAGGTTCACATTCATAAACCACAAGCAAACAAAATTCCCAATTAATTTACCCGAGAGCATCTCCCGATTTGAAACACCATCGAGCACTCATATCGGACCAATGAATTGCTTAACTGCAGAAAACAACAAAATCACGTAAGAGTTCAGACAATGACCGGTATGAAACAATGGTAGATCGTGTGGTAAAACCAATCCTCTTTCTTTTCATTGACAACTCAACAATTGATGCTCAAATAACCTGGATTTGCCACTTTTTTGGATATACAAAATGAGAATATCCTTCCAATGTGGGTTGAACACTAGAAAATGACCGCTTAAAGATATTTAGTGGTCAACGATAATAAATATCAGGCCAGGCAATCCCGAATTACGATAAGTCATGACCAAGGTCCAGCCCTTGGAACACGAAAAAACTAAGACAGGCAGCAAAAAGACAAAGAGATTGCATCACAGGAGGAGGAGAATGCTTTTACATAACCGAAGGAAATAAACAAAACAAACATTCTTAACATGAATGATAATTTAAAAACAATGCAATGATTAAAAGAAATGCCAGACAGTAAAACATATAATGCAAGTGCAAAGAACGCAAGTAATAAAAAACAACCATGTCAATAAGATTAACTACACATATCCTGATTGCTACGTGGTTATGTAGTTAAGGAAAAATACTTGGTTCGAAGTTAAAATGCAACAAACACAAGCACAGTTGTTGGATTACAGATAGACAACTAAAATAAAAAGAACCACCAAAAACCAATCAGCATTCAAGAATGACTAAGACCAGCGCCCCCATCCCCACCTAAAGTCTCGCCCGTTCTTCACTTTTCTTGCCCATACCACCTTTTTGTTATTCAACAAATTCAAGATGGTTTACAGTACCATTTTTGTTCGTCACCATAGGAAAACATTTAATGTCATCTATGTTCTGTCAAGAAATGTCTTCGACAAATTGTTCCAAGTAAACTCTCCCTTTTTTTTCTGTTGTCAAGCTTTCTTGAGTCTTAATCATCTTGTTTAACAATGTGAAACATAATTCCTTTTTTTTTATAGAAATGTGAAACATAATTCCTCATTCTAAACAGGTTCTCCTGTTCTTCCCAAGCTTTTCCTAAATGACAACTATTGCCAGAGAATACAAAAAATATGTTTCATCAAATAAAACTAAACTAAAGCATCTATAGAAATGACACCTGCTTAAGTAAAACGTAAGCATCATGTGCTACGACGAAGAATCAGCGACATCATCACTGCAACGCACCCGATGGGATTTTCATACCATAACAACCAATAAATTCAACAATGTCGTTGACCAGTATTAGCATCAAAGCATGACAGCAATATTGGAAATACAGACCAGACATCAAGACCTACAATGATCAAACTACAATCACCAACCAAACCCGCCATTGTCATTAACTGGTCCTTGAAATAAACACGACCGCAACCAAGACATTTTGAAAATACAAACACGCCAACAAGACCTACAATGATTATACTCAACTAAGCATATCGAAGCAGCTTCATTTTTAACCAAAGTTCAAAGCATTGGAAATAATTTAGCTATCAGAAGTTCAGAACCGTATAAAATAAATAGAATCTCAAATAACAAATTAAACTTAGCTCTAGCAGATGTTACCTATCCTTCAAAATGATTATAATTTAAGAAAGAACTCAATTTTCAGTAAAATAAGAGCAAAAATTTTACAGAATGGAAGAAAGTAATTTTCCGCATACCCTTGTCCGTCAAGATTTCGCTCACCGCCGCTACCTCCGCTCGCAAACGACCCATCGTCAGCACCCGCCGTCTGCCAAACACTCTGCCAAGCCTGCGAGGGAGGCTGCGCATACATAGCACCGGTGGGGTCGACGGCAGGCCTCCCGATCATCATCCCGCCAGGTCCAGCTGGACCACCAGAAGCTGGATGACCCATGGGAGGGTAAAAGTACGGCACTCCACTAGCAGTGGCACCCACCATCCCACCCAAACCAACCTCATCCTTGATCTCGTCCCTGGGAACAATATCCACCAAGAAATCGAAAATGTCGGTCCTAGTAATTGCCGCGGCGATGTCGTTTTTCTGAAGCGTCCGCCGCTTGTTCTCCTCGGCGTGAAGCCAAGAACGGATGGTAAGCTCCAAGATGAAAAGCTCGCAAGCCTTGGCGAAGAGAATGGGGGCTTCAGCTGAGATCATACGGACATCTTCGTCGGCTTTCATAATCTTCTTGATGCGAGCGAGAGGTAGCTGATGGTTCCTGAAGTCGTTGACCTGCTCGATTTCTTGGCGCTGGTAAGACCAAAACATTTGGAGTTGTTGCTGCTGCTGCTGGAGGAGGTGGTGGAAGGGTACCGGTGGAGTGCCGGCAATGGCGGCGGAGTTGGGAGGATGTGTAATAGAAAAAGTGGTGGGCTGAGGAGGATAAGAGGAGGACTGGGCTTGCTTGTTGCTGTCCATTGGATGACAGATCAACGGCAGATTTTGAGGCAAATGAAGGGAAAACAGAAACTAATGGATGGATGAGCTTGGGCTTTGATTGATCAAAGGGATATGGTGGGAGATTGGGAAGGTGATTGTATTCATATTGGAGTAAATTATGAGTTTAATGTCTAAACTATCCATTTTGATTCAGTTTAATATTTAAAATTTTAATTTTTTAAAAATCATACTTAATTTTTAATTTATGTTTCATTTATTACCTATCCGTTAAAAACTTAACAGGTGATTTACATGTGATATTTTTTATAGATAAATTGTATAATTTATCACTTAACTATCTTTTCATTTCTATTTTGGTCACTAAAGTTTAGTTTTTTTAATTTAATTACTTAACTTCCAAATTATTCCTAATTTAATCACCCTAACTTCAAATTTATTTTTTAAAATTGTTAATTGTATTAATAAATAATAATAATAAATTTCATGTCACAAAAATTATTAAAAAATAAATTAAAGTGATTAAAATAAGCGCAATTTAAAAGTTGAGTAGTTAAATTGAAATTTTTAAAACTTTAGTATCAAAATTTTGTAAAATTCTTAAACGTTAGATATATAAATTGACCAAAAAAATTTAGACACCTAAATGAGAAAAAAGTTAAACAACAACATTATTTAATTACTCTTACTTTGATCACCGAAGTAAATTTATTCATGCTTCTAATTCATGATCTAAAGTTAAGCAAGTTGAACTCAAATTTTCATTTCCCCTTTTAAAGGCGAATAGAAACATTATTTAATATACTATATATTAATAATATATTATATAAAGATTTTATAAAATTTAAATAGTGTAATAAAATAATTCTTTAAAATTTATATAAATATAATTTTTAAAATTAAATCATAATAATTTAATAATATTTATTTGACAATCTCATTTTCTAAATCGAATATTAATGACAATATATTAGTTTTTAATAATTTAAGTTGATTATAAGAAAATATTATCTAACTAAAATATTTTTAACTGTTAAAAATGCAGGAGTGCACGCACAAAAGCACAACTATTTTAACCCAAAAAAAACTTTAAAAAAGAAAAATATTTCATTGGTTACACTAATTGATAATTTAACCTTCTATGAATCAAATCATATCTGGTGCGTTTGGTTGGGGAATGTGAGATTCACATGAGAATGGAATCTACATTTCCCCGTTTGGTTGGTCGGGAATGTCATTTCCGGTAATCTTACATTATCAATAGTAGATTTTTTGGGGTATATTACTGGGAATGTCATTACCTCCCTTTCTTTAGGTATTGTTGGATTACCGGTGTTTTAAACTAAAATACCCTTAAATTTTTTTTCTTTTAAAAATAATCTTATTTTGTCATTGAATAATAAAAATTCTACGAAAATTAAATTATAAATTTATCCTTAAACTATTTTAGATTTACAAAAAAAAATCTATAATTAAAATTTTATATGAAATTCAGGGGTTAAAATAAATTTTACCCTTTCATTAAACCTTTTTATATTTTCAATTTTGTAAAAAAATTATATAAATTTTATGAATTTAAATTTTTAAAAGAAAATATATAAATATTTTTCAACTTGTTAAAAAATAAATACATAATAAGGACAATTTGATCAAATATACATTCTAATAATCTTTTATTCCTTTAACCAAACACGGTAATCTTACATTCCAGTTAAACCAACCAAACACAAAATACAATATTTTCAGTAATTCAATTTCTTGATAATCTTTTATTTCCATAATGTTACATTTCGTGAACCAAAGGTATCCTAAATCTTTGAGAGCCCGTGCTGTGATTTAGAAAACAAGAAAACCAGTTTTGAAGAACCTATTGCTTTGAAGTGAGTCTTACCGATCCCATCGGTTTGCAGCTTTTGCCCAGTTCCACAGGCCACATTCCACCGCCGAGGAGAAGAGAAAAAAACTATGATTATTCTATATTCTTTTACTTCTACTGTTTTTGCTGCATGTTCTTTCCTACCACCGTGAAAAATAAAACACCTGTAAAACCCTATGCACCAAAACCGTTTCCCTAGTTTTTCCATTTTTTCAGGTGTCGTCTAACATAAACAGGTAGCCCGGGTTTCTGGTGCTCCTTTTCTTTCCTGATCTCTTCGTCAGTTATATTTGGCTTCATTTCTTGGTCATTCTCCACCAGCTCTTTTCCTTTGGATCTTTTTGACTCCATTTCTTTCACCTGAGACAAGTTCTAAAGGAGTAGCGGAAGGATCAAGCTTGAGACAGCCCTTACAAGACTTGTGAGTTGTGACCTTCTTGACCAGTTAGCAAATCAGAAGGGAGCTGGTGAGAGAAACGAAACAGCTCTTGAATCACCAAGGTTTTACTTGGTCCCGAGTGCTTGCGTTTTGCGTCTTGAATGAAACCAGGCACCTTAACGAGCTGGCCAACAGCAACACCGTCAAGCTCATTGTACGCTTCCAGCACCTCAACCATGTCACGTTTGTGTATGACTTCGTCCGGCCTAAGCGTTTTCCAATTGGAGGACAGGTTCCTGTAAAGAACTTCCCACTAGTTTTGTAAAAGCCAAAACCGATCCGGTTTAGTGGAGCCAATTCCACATTGCTTTTAGAGTTAAGCCAAGCATTTTAAATGGCTCTAACCATATCACCCTATGGATCATCATCATCATCATCACAAGCAGCCCAAACCACTCCCCAAGATCCTGTTCAAATTATGAAAATTTGGATAAAGAACACTCATGGACACAGGTTCAGGTCCCATTGTAGTAGGATCGGTGTCAGAATCGGCAATACAGGACATTTTGGGTTGAATTCTAGACTTGATATCAACAAATTCAGCAGATTTGTGTGCATTGGAATTCTTACTTTGAGCATCTTTTCCATTTCCTGTATTCTTCTTGTCTATCTCCTCATCTGAAATCTTGGGTTTATTTGAAGCATTTGATAAAGAAGTCAGGATCCATGAATTTGTCTTCTTGCAGATTTCTTTCCATCTCCATCACAATATTCTGAATTCCCAGGTGTGGAGGCTCCTTTATGCTATTACTAGAGATTCCAGCAGCATCCCATTCTTTTGAAGACAAGGAAGGGTAACCCCTTCATTTTCCATTGCCATGTGATTTCCTATCTCCGTTGCATCAATTCACCTCTTTTTAGGCCCCTCTCTCTCTTTTTTTTTTCTTTTTTTTTTTTTTTTGCTGCTGCTGCAGAGAGGAAACCAACCCAAAGACCAAGTACCTAAACCAGCGTATGCTTTTTGAGAAGGAACTCTCATATGTAGGCTTTCCCCCGTCCTGATACCTGTCTTTGACTCCTTGCGGCTTCTCTTGATGTTTTACTGGTTGGATGAGTATCATCAGCAACTCGAGCAGCGAAAGAAGCTTGCAGTGCCCCATTTTTGTTACTTGCTGATCCATGAAATGCATCTGTCCGAGAAAATTTGGTAGATGAGCCCAAGCCAGAAAATCTGTCCCATCCTGCATTATGAACCTGATGGAACTTCTGCACGAAGACCTCGAAAATGGAGTATACTTGCTACTTCCATTTATAGATGGGGCCGATGTCTCAACAGTGAAAAAAGGGTGCCAGCAGTTGACACAAGGAAGATTGAGGTTGACATAAACTCTGGAGTACTCGAAACTCATCTTACACGAATAGCAGGTTCTCCAAAATGCATCAGTTCTTGCTTGAGTGAGGAGGAGCAGGTCGGGAATAAGTAGCACCGTTTAGATCACCCGTGTTTCAATTATTAGCATTGAAGAAATCACGGAAACCATTAGAGCTGGTCACTTCTGTTGATGGTTTCCCATGAAAAACAACGTATAACTGCCCCTTAAGTTCTGCTTCTGGTCATAAGCAATTCTCCTTGCTTTATTAGACAACAAATTCCAAGCTTCGGATCCAATTTTGAAATCCCCCTCTGCACCTACGGATTTGTTTTTGTTCGGATGAAGAATGAGAGCCAGCTTCCTGTATTGTTTCCAAATTGCGTTCTCATCGGCATATGGTCGAACACCAAGCACCCTGTACCAGTCAACTTCTCCTTTGATCTTTTACTTGCATATATGTATATGTCAAGGGCTGTAAGCAACCGAGGAAGACCATCGAGCTCCGGGTACAATTATTCAGCCTTCAAAGCAAATCCTTTTGCCCCCACAGCATCCATCTGGGCAAGTTTTCTTTTCCCAAGCAAACTCTTCAGCTCTATTTCCCTCGTCAGTTAATTGTCTGAATTTGTCCATCAAGAAAACATCAGAGAAGATTCCAACATTAAATAATAATGAAATGTTACTAAGGAATTCAAAATTAGACAATCATTTTAGCTTTTATTTTTTTAGTGTTTTATTCCATAACGTTTCATTTTGAAATAGAACCATATTTATTTTGGAGTATTAAATGCTTGTTTACTAGATGTTTTCATTTATGGAAATGTCTTTTTATTCAAAAATAAAACGTTAAGAACCAAAATATTTTAAAAAAAATTAAGGACCAAAGGTCCAAAGTGCTTATTTAGTCAAACATCAAGGGCCTTTCTATCACTATGCCTTTTGTATATTATAAGTTGTAACTTATAGAACTCGCTGAGTGACCTTAGTAATAAAAGAGAATATCATTCTCTCTAAAAAAATACGAGTTCGAGAATATTAATTTGTAATCACTCCATATTGTTCAGAAAATAAAAAATATATATTGTAACTTATAAATTCATAACTATGATTAACAACTGTACCTAAAGTCAGAATGTACGCCTCAGGTAAGGTCATGTCACGATAGAACTCTGATAGAAACATCAAATATGAGAATCAAACACAAGCATTATCAATGAGGAATCCCAACCATTAGAGCAATTATCAACAAACAGAACCAAAAATTCGATTCAAAGACATCATAGGCTCGACATTACTTATAATCGACAAGATCTTGAAACAAAATAGACCTCAAATCAACGAGGAACAAGAAGGCCAAGTCATAAGGAGAAAGAAACATAAAAATGGTCATCGAACGATGACAACACCATCGAACGAAGACAATCATGGAGAAGATGATGCCTCGCAATATTA